AGGATAATGGGTGCAATACATAGACCTGGATACTGTACGTTTGATAGATCAGCTCCAGGAGAGTGAGAAAGTAGAATCTAGCTTTGAAAAAAGGAGGATATTGATTGGCACATTGAAACTACTACAGCCAAAAATGTGTCTCAGTCCCTCCCAGCAGCTTTGCCTGGGCAGAATGGGAGGAGTGAAAAATATGGAATCCTGTGCAGGAGTGGCCTTAACTCTTTAGTCGGCCAGATCAGAAAACATTTTTGACTCCCCTAGAGCGACTGAGCAAGCAAAAAAACCACCCAAAACATAGCAGCACGGCACTCCCTGGAAGTTGGCACTCAGGGTAACTGCTCTGTTTGTCCACCCCTAGAACCAGCCCTGATCCTGTGACCTTGTATGTGAGGAACCGTGGGTTAAGCCGTCCAGTACCAATAGGCAGATCAGCATTTCAGGAGATGCATGGAGAAGCATGCACAGTGATGCTTAATGGAGGCCTTAGGTCTACGTTATCCTGCACACAGTCTGGGGGACTGTTCATTTGGGGGCCTCATATACACAATCCTGCAAGACAAGCTTACTTACAGGTGGAGAGGAAACTGGATAAATGCCCAAAATATACATTGCATAGAGACCTGTAAGATATAGAAGCAGCCCTGATGCAATCTTCACTGTGCCCAGCTCCGTCCAGTGTTGTATGTCCCTCTTCATTAAAAGCATTAAAATGCAGCTGGAATTACCTTCTACTTACATACAGATTGGCATGCAATTTAAATCCTAGTTATGTGTCCACAGGCCTTTTAGAGTGTCTTTACTACAATTAAAAACCTCTGGCTGGCCTGTGACAGCTGATCTGGGCTAAGGGGCCATTTAATTGCAATATAGATGCTTGGGCTGCAGCCCAAGCTTTGGGAGCCCTCCCACCTTGCAGAGTCCTAGAGCCTAGGCTTCAGCCAGAGCCCAAACGTCTACACTGCAATTAAACAACCCCTTATCCTGAGCCCTATGAGCCCAAGTCAGTTAGCATGGGCCAGACGTGGGTGTCTAATTGCAGTGTAGACATACCCTTTACTCTTTAGTGGCATTTGGATGGACCAAGATTCAAAGGTATAGTCTTCAAATTAAATAAGTGACCCATAATTTTAAAGTTTCACATTGAATATGTTTCAGAGTAGCAGCTGTGTTAGTCTGTATTCACAAAAAGAAAAGGAGTACTTGTGGCACCTTAGAGACTAACAAATTTGAGCATAAGCTTTTGTGAGCTACATGATGAAGTGAGCTGTAGCTCACGAAAGCTGATGCTCAGATAAATTTGTTAGTCTCTAAGGTGCCACAAGTACTCCTTTACATTTGAATATGTGGCCTGTGTTTTTTCTCTTAGCAGTCATTTATTTAGGAGTATGAAATCCTAAGCAAACAATGGATGAGGCTCAGATAATGGCCAAAATATGGTGTCAGTTGTAGAAACAGACTCAGATCAAAACCCAGGACTCCAAAAACTCTCTGAACTTTAGGGATGTTTGGATGTTAAACCCAGAGCCAAACTTGGCATGGGGGGGGGGGGGGTGTTCCCACCTTTTATCTATTTCTGCTATTGTGCAAGGAAAGCATCACACGCTTTCCAAAACAATGACTCAAATTCATGCCTGGTAGAATTCTATTGACTTGGAACTATACCAGGGATGAATTTGCACCATAAAATGGTGTAATGTAGGTGCAGTAGGGATTTTATTATATTTGTGTATTGATCGTTCTTTGTTGCTCATCTCTATAGCAGCTGAATATCAATTATATGATTCCTCTCTCCCACCCCCAGCCAGTTAGATCCTCTGTGGTTTAAAAAGGTACGTGTCAATTTCATACATCTGTTCTGCTTTTTTTTCCTTTGCATTTTTTAAAATGGCTGCTACTTTTTTAGGCCAAGATCTTCAAAAGTGACTAGCGATTTTGTCTCCAGTTTTTTGGCTTCCCAATTTGACAGCTGAAAATCAGGCTCTTTTAATAGGGCGGCACTTTCTGAAAAAACAGACCCTTTTAAATGGTCTCAAACTGGACACAAAACTGCCCTACAAAACTGAGGCACCACAAAATCCGTGGTCACTTTTGAAAATCTCGGCCTTAACCTCTAGGCTAATACAGTTCTAAATTTGAAATTTAATGGAACTACAGAGTCTATTTCACACTGAGTTAAGGAATCTCTGCTTCTACTTCAGCTCATGTGATGCTTTTCCTACTTTAGAAGGGAAAGGGGTGACTCTACAGTATGTATCTGTATCCCCTTCTGATGTATGCAAACAACAACCTGTTTCTTTCTCAAAGCATGAAGATTTCCAAAGCGATATATTAAATGGTTCCAAAAGTTTGATGTTCCCAAATATTGCACTCAATTGTAGCCTCATTAACTCTTCCTCTGATCTTGTTAATCTAGAAGCAGTTTAGCAGAAGCCAAATTCCGTTGGGCTTTGTATATTAGCACTCAGGTTTCATACTTATTCCACAGCAGGATGCACCTTAAAATTCTCATAAACACAAATGGCCCATTTCACCCCTCTAATCATTTCCATTCACACTTTCCTTATTTTGCACTTTCAGGGCATATTGTATTTTACATTTTTGCAGCTAACAGGCTTTTAAATGTATTTTAATTAAAATAATTTATTTACTTAGGGCTTGTCTACACTGCGAAGTTGTCTACAAAACTTTTGTCTTTTCTGGGTACTTTAAAAAGCCCCCCCACGAAAGACAAAATTTTTGCCAACACAAGTGGCCGCGTGAACACAGCTTTGTCGCTCCTGCCAACAAAGCTAATGCCACTCGTGGGGCTGGAAGTGTTTTGTTGGCAAAAGTGCCAACAAAGTACCGAAAAAGAGCATTTACACATGCTGACTTTTAGCAACAAGGCTTTAGTTGACACAGCCTTGCTGCTAAAAGCTGTGTGGTGTAAACAAGCCCTAAGTTTCACTGGTAGGAAACTCTTTGTTTTTGTTTTCACAGCAACAATACATTTACTATATATGCAGTGGTGTTTCTCATTCCTGGGGTTAAACTGACATCTGCTGGCACCCTGTACTTCATGTTAATTGTTTGCATTTTATTACATTATACTGTGTGTCTCTTGCCAAGAATGAAATGTTTCTGGTTTGATTGCAACACACCTTTCCTCACTTTAAATCCTTATTTTTTTTTTAACTTCAATAAAAACAGCATTCTAGTGAATAAGCATTTCTTGGGGGTGGCGTGGTGAATTATCAAGATTCTCATTTATTTTTTTTTCCCACTAGGGTATCCTGTTAAGGATCATATTACAAGGATGTAAGTTATTTGAACTCTGTAGATGCAAGAACCTCTTCAGCCAGTACAGAAATGCAGCCACCACTGGGTGGAATGCATAACAACCACAACAGTTCAGAGCAGGATTAAAACTCAGGAATACATTTTTCAGGGGTGGCCAAACTGTGGCTTGCAGGCCACATGCAGCTCTTTTACCATTAAAGTGCTCGCAGAGCTCCTCATGTTCCCGCCCCTCCCCCATTCTTCACCTACCAGACTTGGGTGGGGCAGAAAGCTCAGGACCTCTGCATTGCACCGGGGTGGTGTGGTAGGGGCTTCTGCCAATGGGAGGGGGATCTTGGGGTGCACTTGCCAGGGTTTGGGGCTTCAGCAGGAGCAGGGCTGAAGCCCAACTCCTGGCATATGTATCCTGGCTTGAACTTCTGAAGATTGTCATATGTGGCTCAGTGGGCCAGTAAATTTGGCCACCCGTGACATATTTGCTAATCCCATGATCGGTCCTGTAGACTATGAATTACCAATACCATTTACCTGCAGCAATGTGTGTGTTTGTGTATCAAGTACTGACCAGGTCAGCATCTGCTTAGTCTGATGAATACAAAACCTGGAATAGTATAGCTACTATCGGCAATTCAACAGAAGAATCTGATAGAGAAGTTTATTGTTCAGAAGATGTGTTGTTACTTATTTGAATGAAAGTAGTCTTACAGTCTACTAAAATTCTGCTCCTGGCTCTGGCATGGATTTGCACTGAACAGCCTCATGCGAGTAACAGGCTGTTTCATCCAGGCATCAAAATGTTCCTCTTTGGCACAAAGCAATTGGAACCTTTACAGGAATGATACTCTGTAATTACCTACATTTGCCTGATGATGGGAATTGTTTATTGCTGAATAATTGTGCCTGTTAAAAAGTAAAACATTACAAAATTGGAGAAGGAATTTTCCTCTTGTTCAAATTATCTTTGTGTTTTGCATATAAAACTTAATAGCTGGTTCTGCTGATACAGTAACTTGTAGATCTTGTTGTTTTGACTTTCGAAGTTTAGGAAAAAGCTGATCTGCAAGGAACTCCAACTCCAAGGTCCTCTTGATAGTGCTGAGTTGGCGTTTTTTTCCTGACAAAGTAAATTCTTTTGTTTAGAACGGTATGTTCCATTACATTGTGTTTCAGAAACCTGAATTTTTACTCTCCAGGAGCTTAATATTTTTAAACCCTTATCTTACCTTCAATACTCCTATGTCTTTGTTTCCGGTTATTAACTCGAAGGCACTGGCTCTCAAACACCTATCTTGCCAGGCGATGGGACAGCAGACTGCAGGCTGCTCTTGTGGTCTGCACAGAACAGCTAGCGATAGATATAGATGTATTCGTGTAGTTGATAAAAGTCTTTAGCTTAAGACGCAGCTGCTCGGGTTAGGCTCTGGGCTGGCTCCTAGGCGAGCCCAGAGCCGACGTGTGACTGCTGGCGGAGATGGGGCGGGGTTTTCATGTGGCCCACTGAGCCCTGAGCTGGTGAGCTCGTTCCCAGCTGAAGGGTGGGGAGGGTCCGGTAGGGAAAGGGGGAGCGACCCCGCGCTGCGGAGCTAGGGGGCACAGGCCAAGGCGGGGAGGGTCACTCGCTGGGGCGGGGCCGCTCATTAACTCCCCGGAGCCCGGCTCCCCCCCCTAGCTGCGAGGCGGGGGAGGCGAGTGCCGCGCCGGGCCGGGAAGAAGGGGCGGGGGCGAGGGTGAGGAGCGGCCCGGGAGGGTGTAGTTTTGTCTCCGCCAGTCCAGGCGCAGGGAAGCCGCAAACTCGGGCCGGGAGTGCAGCGGGTCCAGCTCAGCCCGGGCAGCAGGCGGCCCCCAGTCCCCGCGCAGGAGGTAAGGGCGGCGCTGCCTGCGGGCGTGGGCTCGGGCGGCGGTGCGGGGACGGGCTGCTCGAGGTCCTGCGCTACCTCGGGCCCCTCCATGGGGGGCGGAGGGAGCGGCCCTCGGGGCTGGCCGCGGCCCTCGGGGCTGGCCGGCTGTCCCGGGCTCGGCTTGTGCAGGAGCCCGGCGCCCCTTCCCTCTGCTGAGGGGGCAGCCTGGGGCGCTGGGCAGGGGCCCTCCTTGGGCCCGCTCGGAGATCGGCCGCAGCGAGCCCCTCTGCTCCGAGCCGGGGCTGACCCGGGCGCAGCCTCCCTGCTCTTTCTCTGCTTCCCACGAGGATCCCGGGGGGGTGCCCGCCTGCGCCCGCCTTTAGCGCTCGGTGCTCCTCTCCCCCCAGCACCGTGCCCCGCAGCAGAGCCCGCTGGACACAGCGCACACACTAAGCCATGTGGGACTGCGTGAAACCGACCCCGGCAGGGGGGGGGGGGGTTGCAGCCATCCACCCCCCCCTCCCTCCGCCACGTTCCGTCCCCGGCCTCCCCGGCCAGGCAGCGACTTCCCCTTCTGAACGGGGCGGCCCACGGCTCCCTAGCCACGTTTCCAGACGCGTTCTGTGCTGCCTCAGTGGGGTGGTTTAAATCTCTAGAGAAATCGGTTTGAAGAGTGAAGGCCCCAGTTCCTCCCACCAGTGTAAAGAAAAAGCGACTCCATAAGCTGTAAGGGACTAGAGGAAGTACAATTGTATCTAACGCAACCTTTCAGTTTTTTATCTGCGGCTTGCATCCCTTTTCAAGTAAAGTGGGCTGATCGGATGGTGTTTCTATCGTGTGACTTCCAAGGGCATAGCCTGGGATCGAGCTGCTCGGAATTTGTGAAATCCGATGAAGTGAGCTGTAGCTCACGAAAGCTTATGCTCAAATACATTTGTTAGTCTCTGAGGTGCCACAAGTCCTCCTTTTCTTTTTGCGAATACAGACTAACACGGCAGCTACTCTGAAACCCCGAAAAAATGTTTCTCTGAAGTGAAACCAAAATTTGAGGATGCTTAGTAACCCAGTTTGCCCAACCTAGCTTCTGCAGTTGCAAAGTGTCTGTTTTCTATAGATTTGTAATTTTGCAGAGTCACTCAATTGTCTTTCCTCATCTTTATATTTGTTAGCTCTGGAGCTGTAAACCTGTATTTTTGGGGACGTATTGTAATACTTGGTTACTGCATTTGTTTAAAACTTTTTAATGTTTAGTTAAAAAACGTTCAATGCTGGCAAGTGAAATTTTGACATGAGCTCTTCTGTGGGTTTGTATATACTTAGAGTTACTCTGAATAAACTATTCCTAAAGAGTTAATTGGGATTAGTTATTTGATCTGAAATTCACACCCTAGTCTATGCTGAATTAAGTTCCTCGGATAAACCGTCCCTAAAACTGATGGCAGTGGAACACACTGTTACAAATGATCAAAAGTGAAAGGGCATATCTACACAGGGTAATGCAGGAAAGTTGAACCAAAAGCACATGAAACCCCTGGGTGGAAGCTTTCATTCATTAGTGGCCTTAGTTCACTTTCATTAGTGGACTGAAATCACTTTTCTGAATGAGAGTATCCACACATGAGTTTAATGCAGTTTAACTAATGCACTTTAAATTCACACCTTCAGTTAATTTTTAACTGAAGCTTAACTTTCCCGAGTGTCCATGTGTAGACAAAATTAATAGCTTCAGCACTTAGCCAATTATATTCAAATTCTTTATCCTCCTGGCAAATCCCAAAGTGGTGTGGCCTCTTTGCAGATAGAGTGCCACCCAGATCTGTCTCCAGCTAGGTTTTGGAGGTGGTCTAGCTGGATATTAAAATTAGTAGTTTACAAAAAATTCTCAGATGATCTGCAGCCATGACCACAAATTCTGGGAGCTAAGATGTACATTGTTTGTTAAATGTTCAGCTATTTTCTCAAAACCTATGCTGCCAGGTCTTATGAAAAGACACAATTTTATTTTAAAATGACACTGTCACTCCAACATCTAATGTTAAATCTTGTCAGCCTATAACAGAGCTAGTTTTAAGAAACAGAAAGTTCTTTAAAAAAATTCAAGGGTGAACATTGATCATTTATTTAAAATATTTTTTTGCTTGTGAAGTTTTATTGAAGAAAAATGTAAACCAGAATATAATTCCCATTATGTCAGTTGTAAAATCTTCTTTCCTAGGACCCCTTATTTCAAAGTTCTGATCAGCTTCTGGAAAAAACTTGGCATCATACATGATAGAGCCTTTATTCTCCAATAAACTTTTGAGGAATCTGCACTACTCTAATTTTAAAAATTTCTATGAAAAAAATAGGAAAAAGTTAAACTAGGAAAGATCTTATTGTTCAGACAACCAAAAACTTGGTCTGGACAAATGATATATTTAATTACTTCTGCTTTTCACTTAAAAATTCTGGGTGCAGTGGCATACCAGTGCAGTCTTGCTGTTTGGTCAAAATAATGACTTCTTGTCTCAGTTTCCTTAGAGCAGTTGTGTCTCATGCTGTGCTGTGTGGATAGAGCGCACACACAATTAGCCAAATGCACTTTCCCAACAACAGCATGGCCTCATTAATGGAGAAGAGACAGAGCAGCAGTTTTGGTATATTTTGCTACACAAGTGCTAGGCAGATCATATCAGGATATTATACATGAGGGAAGGACAATCATTTTTCTTCTAGGACAAACAGATTTGAGATCCCAGTTTGTATTGGACAGGTTGGTTTAGGATCAAAATTCCTTGTTTTTCCTAGGTCATTCTCTTCTGGGTTCTTGCTCACCAAGGAGGGTTGCCCCTATCCAGGTTTTCCCAGGATCATCCCCTTTTGAGGTAGCTGTCCCAGGAAATCTGTAGGGGTGCTGAGTACACACTGCAAGTTGCCTAGTTTTATGGACTCAGGATCATCCTGAATGTCCCTGCTTTTTGTACCTAAAAGATGGCAACCCTACCACCAAGTGTACAGATGAGTTATTTCTTTTTCTTTGTCCCTCAAAATAGTAAAAAGAAAAGGAGTACTTGTGGCACCTTAGAGACTAACCAATTGTCTACCTTTGTTCTGAGGTACAGGTTCATGGAAAAATATATGCAGTAACAGATTACTCATAGTTTTAATTTGTCATCTAAAAGACCTATTAGCAAGATGCTATTGTACACTACTGGTGACAGCTTTTGCTTTTCCTCGGTAATAGTGCATTGTATGTATTTGAAGATTATACACTATATGCAGTGCTGATGTTTTTATAGGTCTGTTATGGGAATTTGTGAGTTGACTGGAAAAAGTTGATAACATAAGGATTGATGTTGGATACTGTCTGTTACCAGAGAGAGGTGACAAAAATAAAAAGAAAAGGAGTACTTGTGGCACCTTAGAGACTAACCAATTTATTTGAGCATGAGCTTTCGTGAGCATCCGATGAAGTGAGCTGTAGCTCACGAAAGCTCATGCTCAAATAAATTGGTTAGTCTCTAAGGTGCCACAAGTACTCCTTTTCTTTTTGCGAATACAGACTAACACGGCTGTTACTCTGAAACCTGACAAAAATAAAATAGCTTAAATCATCTATACTTCAAAAACAAAGCAGCCTTGAAAAGCCAGAAAAAAGTGAGGCCTGTGAAAGATGGCATGTACTGTCAGTAAATACCACAGAGTACTTTACAGAACTACGTACACATACAAGAAAACTGACACCCATTACTAGAATACACCAGCATGACTAGATGAAAAGTGGCAGGTATTGTAACAGAGCCAGCAACCCCAAACAGCTTAGGCACAAGAAGTGAGGAATACGATGTTCAGTTAAAGCAACAGGAGAATGTATGTGGGCAACCAGTAACTACCCATGTTTGGAGGATATTCTTGACCAGTTAGTATTTTGGAGTCTGTTAAAAGGTAGAGTTTCTTTTCCTTAGATTTTTTTTAACATTATTTTTTCATTTTGCATATAAGAACAATCTCTTCCGGCATACTCCCATAGCAAACTTAAATTCATTCTATTTCTGAAGCTGAATTTCACACAATAAAAGTACAAGTAAATGCTTTCTTCCAATGGTCTTAGCAGAAGTTATTTTTTGGTCCTATTGGATTAATTCTGTATAACTAGAACTGTGTTAAAAAAATTGATATCTTTAAAAGTGATTATGGTAGATTATCTGCTTTATTCTCTTGTCCTGGAAGACACTAGTGTTGCTGTTAACTTTTATTTAAAATATCCCCATTAATGAAAGGTTGCAGTACTGGGAGATAGTTGAGAGTATGAAAAGAAATACATCCCCTCTTGTTTAATAGGTTTCAGAGTAGCAGCCGTGTTAGTCTGTATTTGCAAGAAGAAAAGGAGTACTTGTGGCACCTTAGAGACTAACAAATTTATTTGAGCTAGTTATGCGACCCCCAAGCATGCACAAATAAATTTGTTAGTCTCTAAGGTGCCACAAGTACTCCTTTTCTTCTTGTTTAATAGTAATTAGGAATCCTAGCGCATTATGGTTACAGGCTCAAGAATACTAATGCCACTATGCTGTAAAAATAGCAGTGATTGGGGACAGCTGGTCAAAGTACAGTAAATGTGCAGCTTTTCATTTTAGTCATCGGGAACTTTTTGCTTCTATGGTGAAGAGAACAGTAGGCCAGGGTTTGTACAGACTCTGAGGCCATGTCTACAGGTGTTGCAGTGCCATAGCTATGCCCCTGTAGAGTGTATGCAGACTATAGCAATAGAAGGGGGTTTTCCGTCACTGTAGGAACTCTGTCTTTCTGAGCAATGGTAGTTAGGTTGAAGGAAGCATTCTTCTGTTGACCTGTCTGCATCTATGCTTCAGTGAGGCTGGCATAGTTACAGCACTCAGGTGTGGATTTATTTACACACATGAGCACAGTACTTATACTGACCTAAGTTTTTAATGTAGACCAGGCTCGGTACTTACATGTACTGGTCTGGAAGTTGACTACCTTCCCTTCAGGAGGGATATGAATGCAGACTCATTTCTGCCA